CTCGGTTGGACCGGCGTGTCCGGTCAGTGGCAGCAGAGGGCGTGCGTTTCGGTCTCATGACCGGACGCTGGGTCGCTCAGCGATCGGACGCTGGAAGGCTGCGTCCGGTCATGCTGACGTAGCAGCACAGAGGAAGACACCATGTGACCGGATGCTGGTTGTGTCCGGTCAAGCATGATCGGACACGTCCGGTCGGGAAAATCGTTTCTAGAAGCTTACTGGAAACGACCGGACGCTGGGGGTTCAGCGTCCGGTCACTGTTAGCTGCTGCGTCCGGTCGTCTTCTTGACTGTTGAGATCGGGCGATCGACTTTTGAAGAGAGGGACACGTGGCGTGCATCGCATGACCGGATGCTGAGTTCCAGCGTCCGGTCAATATGACCGGAGCGTCCGATCACCCCGCGTTGTGCCCAGTGAAGGAGTACAACGGCTCTATTTCGTGGGGGCTTCTATTTAAGCCCCATGGCCAGCTCAAGCTCACCCTCTTGGCCATTTGCATTGACATAGCAACCTTGTGAGCTTAGCCAAAGCCCTCCCACTCATCTCCATCATTGATTCATCATCTTTGTGAGATTGGGAGAGAATCCAAGTGCATTACTTGAGTGTTTGCATCTAGAGGCACTTGGTGTTCGTGTTTCGCTGCGGGATTCTCTTGTTACTCTTGGTGGTTGCCGCCACCTAGACGGCTTGGAGCAGCGAGGATCATCGAGCGAAGGGTGGTGATTGTCTCCGGCTCCGATCGTGGTGATTGTGAGGGGTTCTTAACCTTTCTCCGGCGGAGAGCCAAAATGTACTATAGTGGATTGCTCGTGGCTTGTGTGATCCTCATCTTGTGTTGGTTGTGCGGCACCCTATTGAGGGTTTGGCGTGTGATGCCAATTAACGCGTGAACCTCCAAGTGAGTGAATCGCCACAACGAGGAGTAGCTTGCCGGCAAGCAAGTGAACCTCGGTAAAAAATCATTGTGTTCATCATTTGATTTCGAGGTGATTGGTCTTCACTGATATTGATTCTTGTGATTGATTGGTTCACTCCTTGACACGGCGGTATAACTATCTTGCTCTCTCTCTCTACATTACCACAAGGTAGTTATCAAGCTCTTTAGTGTAGCTAGTTGTGAGAGCTTGTTAGTTTGGTTAGTGTGGCTCTTTAGTTAGTCTTTGAGAGCACACTAACTTAGTGTAATCCCATAGCTATTGTGTGGTTAGAGACAATAGAAACTAAAATTATGGTAGGTGGCTTGCATTTTTAGTAGGCTAGCGCAACACTTGCTTCGCCTCATAATTGTCTAACCGTTTTGTTAAGTGTTGTTGTAGAATTTTTTAATAGGTTATTCACCCCCCCTCTAGCCATTAGGACCTTTCACCCGGGTTTATGAACCCGACACCAGGTAACATTGACATATGATGAAATCTCAACATGAACCAAACTATAAACAGTTGACAAGAAAAAAAACTGGGTCTTAGGCTTGTCCAACAAATCATTATGTAATCATCACATAAACATGAGTTCCACAATAGGGTAAACAAACTGAATTGAATAACAAAGTTACTGCATGATCATATCCTAGAGGTACCCCTCCTTTCTCACATAGCATTACAGATGGCATCCCTCCTAAGAGCCATGGCATTGGAATCTTGGGACTGGCTCTCATTATTAAGCAGGGTGTCAAATGGGTTAGGTTGGGTGCCAGTGAAACCCTTCTCAGCTGGCACAACTTGGTCAATACCAAAACCTATGATCCAATTGTGCAGAATACAGCAGGCCAATACAAGCTTGACTTGAGTCTTGTATGGGTGAAAAGGTTTGTTGTCTAGGATACGAAACCTGTTCTTCAGTGCACCAAAAGCCCTCTCCACAATGACCCTTAGTGATGAGTGCCTTAGGTTGAAAAGCTCCCTTGCATTGGTTGGGTGGTTTTTGCTCCCAAACTCAGTCAAGTGGTACCTCACCCCCTGTAGGGGGGTAGAAAGCCACTGCGGCATGCATAGCCAGCATCTACCATGTAGAATTTACCTACAATTGGACATCTACTATGAGTGTGTGTGCCAATGTTAAGGACATAAGTGCATTGACTAGGTAGTGCAGTTACCTTTAGGTATAGTGAACCCATCATTCCTCTGTATGGCATCAGCCAGGATAAGTGCATCATGGGTAGAGCCCTCCTAGCCAGCAAGGACATATGTGAACTTCATATCAAAGTCCACAGCAACCATAACATTTTGTGTGGGGTTGTGTTTCCTACCCCTGAAAGCATCATGCACGTGTCTAGGCACCCTTGACAACACATGGGTGCCATCAATGGCACCAATACAGTCATAGAAACCATGGAAGTAAGATAACAATACATGTGAATATGCACATCTACCTAATGAAGGAACATGTGCTTCATAATTACCTTCAAGAATGGAGTCCATCTGTGGCTTCCAAGTACCTTTGGGTGAATGGCAGTGCTAGAAGGTTTGATCATCTCATTCCGAAGCTCACCAACAGCATACAAAACATGGTGGAAGTGTCTATGCAGTCTCAATGGACCTCCTAAATGACTGGTGGACAACTCTAAATCTTTGGTTGCGACCAACCACATGAAGGAACATTGCAACTTGCTCCTCTACTGTGACCCCCTCTCTATCAGATACTAGGCTCCTAGCTCTAAACAGATTCCATAAAGTAAAAAAAAGGAGCTCTGGTCATCCTAAGCATGGATAGGCACTCTCTATCAATGGAGTTATAGATCAGGTTAAGGGTCTGTTACTTGTACTGGTCAACTTCATCCCGAAGTGCATACACTAGAGGGTCAGGTTCAGTATCAGGTCCAGGACATTTCCTTTAAGCCCGGTGGTAACAAAGGAGAAAGGACACCATGACTATAACCATGGTAGCTGCTTGCCTACACATCATCTCACGGCTCATAGAGGGATCCATCTACATGCATATAACAATGAAAAATAAACTCAGATCATCATACCCTGCTTGGTCTCAACATGATTGTACAATGATTCAGTAACCAAATAAAGCACGGCTCACCCTGGGCGTTCGGTCTGACCGAACCGAACCGGTTCTTCGATCATTTCGAAAGTTCGGTCATCTAAAAACGGAGACCGATCGGTTAGTTTTAGAACTCAGGAGCGAGCAAGTTCGCTCTCAATTAGTTCGGTTCAGTCTCCGGACTAGACAAAACAACTACTAAATGTTATAATTTGTAGCAAATTTTAGCAATATTTTTTCTATTTAAGGCAAAAATAACAATATAAAATATAGATTAAACAAAGTGATAAGAGTCATGGTTGATATAAACCCACTAGAATAAATATTGTATTACTAATAATAGTCTAAAGTACACATTATGTCAACAAAATTCAAATGTTCGGTTAGTTTGGTTACCCGAGGCATATAACCGAACTAAATGTTAAAAGTTCGGGTAGCATGGACTCGGGACCGAAGTAGTGACTGAAAACTTCGGTCTCGATCTCGATTAGTTCGGTTCGGTCTTCGGTCTTCGGTCAATTATGCCTAGGGTTAAGCACGTCTACATTTAGGTACATGCCTCCAAGTGCTCGGGACAACATCATCGACCATATCATAAAAATACAGAAGCTAACCATATAAAAATCAAGAAACGCATCAGGTATGCAGAGCTCAATAAAGAAGAAGCACATCATCATGGCAAGCATGAAAGACTGTAAGAACGACCATCAGTGAACTATCAAATCAAACCCTAATCCATGGAGGAACAGCAAGTACTACTCAAATCAGATGAATGAATCATGAACAGCAACTACGATATCAAACCCTAACATCATCGCCATCAAGAAGTAGGGAGGATTGGGGGTCGATTTCACCTCGGAGTCGGCGTCGGAGCAAAGGAGCGGCGCAGCAGGAAGAAGAAGAAGACCCGGCGGAGCAGAGGAAGCAGATCCGGCCGGAGAGGAAGCAGATCGGGCCGGGAGAATAGCTTCAGCACCACCGCAGCAACAGAAGAAGAGGGAAGAAGACGGCCACCTCCACGGAGTACCTGCGGTCGACTGAGCGGCGCCGCGTCGTAGCAGATCCAAGACGAAGCCACCCGCTGTCGCCGAAAATCGCCCTAAATCTCCCGCCTCGCGCCGCTCGCAGCCGCGCCCGGGAGAAACGAGTTTCGTTTCCCCGGAGCCAAGCGGAGGGGGCCGTTTTGCACCGCGCCGGCTGGGCTGCAGAGCGGGCCAACGCTCCCAAACACAGGAGTTGCAGGCCATGAGCGCAGCCGGGCTTGTGGGCCACCCTCCCAAACAGGCCCTTTGGAACCGTAGGTAGTAATTGTTCAGGAACAACTGTTTCATTGCTCGTTTTTGGGTGACACGTTCGTTACTTTAAGCAGGAATAATACTTTTGAGTAATTTTAAAATTCTCTCATCGAGAGTAATTTTAAAAATGTATCCCAACTATTTGATTTTCAGATTTTAGATTATTACTTTTAAAACGTTCTAAGTAGTAATTATTTGTTTTTTCTGCCGTGATGAGATAATAAAATATCTGGATCACTGTTTGCTGCCGTAAATATTACTGTTATCACAGATTTAGAAAGATGGTTAGTAAACGAAGCTACAAAAATTCGGAACCCGCGACCGTAAAAGTAGCCTGAGATTCCAATGCGCCACCAGTTTCCATGATAATTAGCGCAATCAAGTAGCACGGAGTAATAATCAAAATTAGCATAATTATCGCAATCAAGTGGTAATAATCAAGCGATTTAGTGATTTGTTTATTTCTAACTAACTATGGGTGGATACGGAAGGAGCAGATTTTCATCCTCAATTAAACGTAAATGCCTATAATTAAGGAAGTTATTGATTTTAGTTCTCTCAATTTGCCGTAAAGGCCTATGATTAAGGAAGTTAATGATTTGTAGTTTATATAATTGGTCGCACGTTTTTAGATTAGCAGTAAGATTCTTTTTTTCCTCCATATCTTTAGATTAGTAGTAAGATTCTATTTCTCATCCACGTCAGTAGATATTTCGATCAATCAAACTATAAAAGAAACAACGATTCCAAAAGCAAAACAGTAAAAGACAGATATGGCAGTAAAATACAGCACGACATTGGAGTGGTGTTGTAGTAATTTGGTGCTTTGCGGCAGTAATCAGCGAGACAAAAACAAAAATAAAATAAAATATTTCCTCATTGCTTCATTAATCAATCAAATTCATTTGAAGTTTGTACAAACAAAATCCATCAAAAAATCAAATCTAGCACAAGCCGATGAGAGCTCCACGCCCACCGGATGCAGGGGCCCTGCCGCAGCCACCGGAGAGAAGGAAGGGGAGGCACCTGCTCAGCTGTTCATTGCTCCCAATTACACGGATTATGATTTCGTCATATGTTTTATTTTGCTTCATCATTAGTTGTTCTAGTTAGCTGTTCTACAACATGTTGGCGCATGATGTTTCTATTTCAGGGATAATTCACATATTCATCTTGACAATGCCCTTCAGCTGAGGCCTCAACACATCATCATAACGACACAGTAAAGAGTATATTATTATACTGTTGGTATATTAAACCGTCACACCATCAGTAGCCACTACACCTAGCTACTTTCACTTCAGAAAAAAAAATAAACCATGAACCACTGCCAGGCAAAATTCACAGTTGCTTTACATTTTCTTTCTGGAAAGAAACCGGTATATTACACCCAAAAACATATACACGAGGTCAATCTGTCTTCCACACCCCTTCTTCTGATGTTCGCAAGGCCAAAACTTGTTCATCGCTCGCCCCATCATCGCCATCGCTGCAATGCTTGGGAACTGACCTTCAAGTTCTTCGGATGACCGGCCAGGCTTTGTTGCTTGCCTTCCCTGGCCTGGGTCTTCATGGTAAACAGGGTGCCACCCTGGCACCATCTTCCTGTCCAACTATTCACGCTCTTCTCTAGAATTGGGGTTCTTTCTTGCTTTTCTTGCAATTTTTTCCCTTCGTCCAAGCTCTTGTCCTCCTTAACACGATCGATTGCTCCAGTGTCAGTCCTGTTGCAAGGAAGTGCCATGTCAAAAGAACGATCTCTTTGCCTGAGTGGAGGACTGTCTCCAACTTTTTGGCCTCTTGGAACCAGGCATGTCAGGATCTTATATGTCAAGTTGTAAGCGCTTGAGCCATCTATCACTTGGCTCGGCACCTATTGGGGTTGAATTATACCACTGGAAATTTGATTTCTCATTCTGCTCATTTGGGAAAGTATGAGATCTAGGTTCGTGATTCCTGTTCCGGGCATGCATGATTGCTTACTACCAATGGTTGCTTTGGACGAAACATCATGACCTTCATTGACATTATGGGTTCCATCTTCTTTACTGTGTCCTGAATCTCCTCTCTTGGACGGAGCTGCCAGCTGCTCACTTTTTGCTTTGTCTGGGCAACCGTAGTCCTGTAGTACATTTATTGGTAATGAAAGAATCAGTACACATATCTATCAACTGATACGGGCCCATAACTAATGAGCACAGCTTGAAATAATTATCATGTGGAATAACAAGCTACAGGTAGGTGAGCATATATTCAAATCAACCTAAAATATTCAAATTCCAGGATTTTAACTAAAGAGCATTAACAGTAAAGTGTGTAAAATTGTCGTGATCAGTTGTGCACGAATCAGACCATCAGGCACTCACCATAACTACAGAGCCACCCATAATGCGAACACCACTTGGGGGGTGGGGGGTTCAGTTTTGAATTATTCTGTTAAATCTTGATAACGCAAAAGCACGAGCCATCAATTTATTCCTGGCAAACACTAAGATCTATATTTCAAAGTTGATTTCGACTTCATTCTAAATTCCATTTAATTCTCCTCATTATGCAGCAAGGGGGAAAATTTACCAGGATAATCTAGCAATTAAACAAAATGGTCATTGCAAATTGCAGCATTCCTAGATCATAGCAAAACAGTAGCATGACTGACTACTTCCAATCTTGGTCGCCATTGTTCCTACAGAAAAAAGAAAGAAAGTAAGTAAGAACATCCCCCCACCCAAAGAATTCAGTAAGACCGCACGCGGAGCATCGAATCTTCTCCAAAATCACTTTCGAGAGTGAGACAGGGAGTGGCAAGCCCGTATCTCTGCACTTGAACACCTTCCCCGCGGTCGTCATGGCATGAGGGGGCGTGGCACGAGGGGGAGGGCGCGGAGGCGGCGCGGGGAGAGGCGTGCGAAGGGGAAGAACGTGATTGGAGGCGGGATCTCACGAGTGGAGGGCACTAAGACACCGGGTCCACCACGCGCGGGGGAGGGAGCGAAGCACCGGGCGGGCCTGCGAGCGGGCGAGCAATTGCACGCCTTGTGGACGATTGTTCTGCAAATGTTTTAGTTGTAGTATAAGTATATAAATATAATATATATAAGAGGCATGATGAACATGATAAAACATTATACAAAGCAATATCCTGCACCGAAAGCATAGTAAACAAATAAGAAAGTAGTATCACACACTCATCTTAATCCAGTATTTACCACCCAAATCAGCACCTAGGACTGGAGTCTCCAGGTGGGAAGGGCAGGCAATGTCAGGTAACACTTCAAATACCAATGGGCAATGTCAATAAAAAAGGAACTAAATAATCTTGTTGCCAGGAACTGACAAATAATAATATCATATCTGAAGTAAGCAAATTTATTCTCTATTCAATTCATTTACATCCTGTATGTTCCTTGGCATGCCATTGAGATGGTGAAAATCTAGCCAAAACTGACAGGTAATGCATGCAGCCTATGCTAGTTACAGATCTCTTTAGCCAAATTTATAGATTTCAATCGCAAAAGATGAACATCAATTTATTAGCAGGAGTCTGTCATGTGTGGGCAGGTGTATGCCCGGCGCAGGCGCGCCCGCGACATACGCAGGGCGGCCCAGCGCGCGTCCCAGGCGCAGAAGGCGCCTGCTGTGGCCGATCAGCCAGGTCATGGCTAGGAGGCCTTAGTTGGAAAGTTATCAGGATTAGTTCCCTTATTATTAGCATCTATTTGTTACCTTAAGATTAGGAGTTTGTTTTCCTTTTGTGGCAGCCGCAAGGCTATATATGTATGGGAACCGGACTTGAAGGAATTAAGCAAGATTATTATCCTATCTTCCATCTAATCTCAAGCCTGCGGTAGAGGGGCATAACCTCACCGGAGAAGACGGCCGAGGGCTACGAGCTTCGTAGCCGAGGCCCTGCGCGTCGAGGGTTCGACGCCCTTGACAGCCTGGTATCAGTGGTCAGCCGCTCATCCTCTTCGCGTTCACCGTCCGCCGCGCCAGCCCCATCCCAGCCGCCGCCCATCCCCAACCCGGCCACCGCACCCAGTCAGTCGCTGCCCATGGCTGAGCCTACACTGACCGATCTCTTCAACGAGATGAAGAAGGTGTCCGCCAAGATCTCCACCCTGGAGGCCGATGTCGCCTCGCTCAAGGAGAAGGCGCCACGGTGAGAGCTCGACACCGTCGTCGGCCGACAATCGTGGCGCTCTCGAGTTCCATCCGAAGCACAGGAAGTGGGATTTTCCCCACTATGATGGCACGTCCGACCCCATGCCGTTCCTCCACAAGTGCGAGGCGTACTTCCGGCAACATCTCACCATGCCGGAGGAGCGCGTGCGCATGGCGGCCTACCACTTGGACGACGCCGCACAGCTGTGGTTCATCCAGCTGCAGGAGGACAGGAGATGGAGGAGAGGGCCGCCTTCCTGGACGACATTCGTGTCCGTCTGGAGCAGGCTCAGGCGGTCCAGAAACGCGTCTACGATCAGCATCATCGTCGCGTCATCTTCACAGTCGGGGACTGGGCGCTGCTGCGTCTCCGGCAGCGAGCTGCTGCGTCCATGCCCCGTGCGGTGCGTGGCAAGCTGAAGCCGCGCTTCGTTGGTCCGTATAAGGTCACCGAGGTCATCAATGAGGCGGCCGTGCGCCTGGAGCTACCCCCGGATGCCCGTCTCCACGATGTGTTCCATGTGGGCGTCCTCAAGAAGTTTGTGGGGTCACCACCAGCTGCTCCGCCGGCGTTGCCGCCCCTCTCCAACGGTGCCGTCGTGCCTGCGCCTTCGCGGGTGACACAGGGCCGCCTGGCTCGTGGAGTTCGCCAAGTCCTCGTCGAATGGGAGGGTCACGACCCCGCTGCAGCCTCCTGGGAAGACCTCGACGATTTCCGCACTCGGTTTCCTTCGTTTCAGCTCGAGGACGAGCTGGACTTCGAGGCGGGGAGAGATGTCATGTGTGGGCAGGTGTATGCCCGTTGGTGAAGCGCTACCATGACACGCTGTGATAGGGCTGCCCAACACAAGGCCCCGTCGCAGAAGGCGCTCATTGTGTGGCCGATCAATGTGTCATGGCTAGGAGGCCTTAGTTGGAAAGTTATCAGGATTAGTTCCCTTATTATTAGCATCTATTTGTTACCTTAAGATTAGGAGTTTGTTTTCCTTTTGTGGCAGCCGCAAGGCTATATATGTATGGGAACCGGACTTGAAGGAATTAAGCAAGATTATTATCCTATCTTCCATCTAATCTCAAGCCTGCGGTAGAGGGGCATAACCTCACCGGAGAAGACGGCCGAGGGCTACGAGCTTCGTAGCCGAGGCCCTGCGCGTCGAGGGTTCGACGCCCTTGACAGAGTCAATCTCGTGTGTGCCGCTAAAAACTTTGAGCTACATGGCTGCAGATGCGGTGAAGGCATGTTGCCACCAAGTACCTTGTAGAACAAAAATCAAGCATGCACGACATCAACGCAAGGAAAAAAAATCAAAAAAAAAAACAAATCTAGCACCCTCCTCCGCGAAATTTGGCGTCCACCTTCCACGGTTCCCTCAGCACGGGGATAGACAAGGATGGGGAACACCAAAGGTCAGGGGAGACAGGGGGAAGGCCATGCATGCCACCGCCAGGATCCTCTGTCGGCACTCGGCACAACTAATAAGATTAGACAGGCTCAGGACTCAAGGATTCAATGGCAAGATAGGAAAGCAATGCACCACAGTCACTTGGTGTTTGCTTAATCGCTCTATCTGCATTGCTTAACTCTGAGCGTACAGGGCTAGCCACCGTCCCAGTGATTGGATGAAAATTGGGCAAACATTAGTAATTTGCCGTTGAACTCAAGACAAGGTTAAATCTAGTAAATTAAGAAACATAGATTAATCTAGGAAGTGTATACAGTTATGATCCACAGGATGAGCAGCATTTCCTTGGGGGTCTAGCAATTTCAGTATAGCTCAAGTAAAAAGGCTACGGAAGAAATAGCACTTTGCATTTACCTTCTTGACGTACATCTCGACCAAATTGGTCAGATCAGTCCACGGTTTGTAGTCACACCAGAAGGTTCCCTTCAGGATCCTATCGTTCAGGAAGTTCATTGGGTAAATCTTGAATTCATCATCCTTCAGTGGCACACCCACCAGCATAGCACCCCCCACCCCCTAGTCCCAACCCTGGATTTAGAACAGAGCTGTTAAAATTAAGTCTAAATAGCAGACTGCAAATGAAAGAAAGAAAGCACATCTTTATTCAGGTTTACATCAGGAGCACACTCAAATGCTTGGATCATAGCGAATTGATGTTACATGCACTCCACACTGTGGTCAACCCCACCATTGTCATCTCAGCAAGTACGTAACTCATCAGGAAATTGGATGGTATGGTTAAGAACACAATGCACATATGATAAATCCATGTTTATATCTTATAAACACTATAAAAGATATCTTTTGCTATTGCTACAATGTGTAACAGGCCTAACTTAGATGAAAATAGCTTATATGCATCCAAAACAGTAAAACTGGTGTTCAAAATGATTAAATCATTAATCAGCCTGTAGAACATGCGCAACGTATCTCTTTTTTTCTAATGGAAATTTCACATCGTATCTTTGAGCAGCAGTATCCTGCTCGGCCGAGATGTGAATTTCCTCTGCAATTTTCATTTCTTGTTCTACATATCAGGACCATTAACCAGACTCCTTTTCAGGCATATTGAAGAATGCAGATACCAACTGTACCTGAAATATTGCTTGGTCTTGTTCTTGTTTTCTGGCAAGGTCCATCTCTTCAGACATTTCTTGTTCCAACTGTCAACCTGAAAGAAAAAAGCACAAATATTTTCTAATATCTGTTGGTCCAGGAAACACATCACTGAAGAGAGCATCAAGCATTAAAGAAAGAATGCATGCAAACGCATTTTACTGCTTGCTCATGAACACATTAACTGGACTAGCTTTTCCTATTTTCCAGTATTTTGTATCAATGTACAAGGTTTATAAGCGGCCAATTCCAGGAACACAAGACAAAGTAGCTCATAATTTTGCCAATTCCATGGGCAACAGATGTACAGAGCAATGACATTCATGTATCACTAAACATTTTTTTTTCTGGAATACGCAGGAGAGCTGTGTATCATTGCATTAAGGGGATAAAAGGCTTATATAGCCATACAACAGCACACACACACCGTCTCTAGATTACATACGCGCCTGTTAAAACTGTAAAAAGACGACCTCCCTCAACGGCGCTGCTAAACCCCAGGTCGAGCAGCGACCAGTTCACTCATGCCTTTAGCGCCTGCCAACCTCCAGAGAGCGGCTTCTTCTTGTGCAAGGAGAAGCACCCGCTCTATCCTAGGCGAGGCACCATTGAACACAATATCATTTCTCTCCTTCCAAAGCATCCAGGCTTCTAGCATGACCAATGAATTGAATCCTCTCTTGGTTCTTTTGTCAAGAGTGCTACCGGCTTGTTGCCACCAGTCAAAGAACCCAGTGGCAGATGGCTGAGGTGCAATATCCGGGAGTGCAAAGGTGCGAAATAATTGAAACCAGAATTGCCGAGAGAAGACACAGGAACAGAGGAGGTGCTGAATGGTTTCATCCTCTTGGTCACAGAAGGGGCAGTGCTCAGGATGAGGAAGACCTCTTCTAGCAAGTCTATCAGCTATCCAACACAATTATGTGCAACTAACCAAAGGAAGAATTTGCACTTCCTGGGACCCCAATTCTTCCAAATTAGAGTGCTCGGCTCAAACTGGACTGCTCCAAGGAACAAAGCCTCATATGCTGACTTAGTAGAGAATTGACCTGAAATGTCCAATTTCCACTTATGAACATCCTCAACCTCTGGCCGGAGTAATGTTTCCTGAACCAAGTCCCAAATGTCCAAGAATTCTGATAGGACCTCCACAGTGGTACCCTGGATATCCTGCACCCTTTGATTGTCCATTAGTGCTTCCTGAACTCTGACGCGTTTCTTAACCCGCCTCTTGGGTACATTACAAATAAATTGGGAGCTAATAGCTTAATAGATGACCCTTGTAACCACCGATCAGTCCAGAACTTGGTGTTCGCCCCATTGCCGACTTCAGAGTAGTTACAAAGCAACATCAAATAGGGCTGTGCATTCCCATGAACCGTGACGGGAAGGCTGCCCATGGCTTATCAGTTCAGTTTTACCCAACCACAACCAACGGACCACGAGTGCCAGACCAAATCTTTGAAGGTCTAAAATGCCCAAGCCACCAAGCTCCTTTGGGACGGCTCACCTTGGGCCAAGCTAATAAACAGTGACCTCCTTTTGCCTCCTTCCCTTTCGCCACAAGAAATTACGACGAATCTTATCCACCGCCTTTAGGCACCATGGAGGAAGCTCCAAGGCGAGTGGCGAAATAGATTAGAACTAAGGTGAGAACCGATTGCACATATGTAGCTCGACCATTTCGATTCATCAACTCAGATTTCCAACTTTGGCGGATGGTCGACCACCTTCTCAATCGAGAGGTTGTAAGCGTGTCTCTCGCATGACTTCTTGATGGAAAGAGGAAGGCCAAGATATTTGCAAGGAAACTCTGAACTACACATGGAAATTGAGTCCGAACCACAACCAAGTCTTCATTTGAACATTGAATAGGAGAGACACGCATTTTCGAATATTTGTTCTCGGATCCCGAAGATGTGCCAAATAGCGTAATAATTGCATCCACCACTTTCAAATCTGTATGGCATCTGGCGAAGAAAGCATACCACATCATCGGCATAAAGGGATACACGATGATGAATATTCCTAGTGGAAAATGGCTGCAGCAGCCCTTCAAAGGCTTTCGCCTTTATCAATCAATCTATTCGGGACATCCATGACAAGGATAAAAAGCATAGAGGAGAGAGTGGGGTCACCTTGTCGAAGTCCATGCGGTGATATAAAACCTCACCGGGACCCCATTGAGTAGCACCCTAGTTGATGACGAGCCAAGCAAGCCACCGATCATATCCCGCCATTTACGCCCAAAACCCCTTCTCTCAAGAACCTCCAAAAGAAAAGCGGCCAGAAACCGAAGTCAAGGCTTTAGAGATGTCGACTTTAATAGAATGCGTGGCTGCTTTTGTTGATGCAAGAAACGGCCGTCTACTAGACAAGTAAGAAATTATCATGAATACAACGCCCTTTCACGAAAAGCACTTTGATTGGATGACACCAACTCACCGAAGTCTTCCCGCTTAAGCGGTTTTAACAGCTTTTGTGACCAACTTAGCAAAAGCGTGGATAAGACTAATCGGTCGAAAGTCCTTAACTAAGGAGGCATCATCTTTTTTGGGCAAGAGGGTTAGCGGTCTTTGAGTTAAGAAGCTACATGTTCCTAAAATTCCCACGCCGCATCATTGATATAGCAACCATTAAATCAGGTTTGATAATGGCCAAAGATATCTTGTAGAAAGCGCCTGTATGTATCCCTCGGGGGCCTTATCTCGAGGCAAATGCTTGATGGTGTTCCACACCTCATCCTCCAAAAAAGGCAGTTCTGTGTCGGTCAAATCAATTTGGCTTAAGTTCAGCTCTTCAAGGTTGATGGTCAGATCCCCGCTGGCCACTTGTGCCCAACAACTGATCATAGAAATCAAAAATTGCTGCAGCCTTATCCTCATGGCTAGACAGCACCTGATCATCTACTATTATTTGTGAGATGAAATTTTTGCGCTTCCTATGACGAACATGAGCATGAAACAACGGCGTATTAGCATCCCCATCTTTCAACCAGTTAATCCTTGACTGACCCGAGCAATTGTTCTCTGCATAGAACTCAAAGCTAGAGAATGTTTTCTCAAAGAGTGCAGCAACCAAAGCTCTCCTTCCGATAGTCAGTCGATGTCCCGAGCAATTTCAAGTTGATGGATAATTTCTCTGGCAATACCAAGTTGAGCACTAATGTTTCCAATGCATTTCGACTCAGGTTTTGTAAAGCTCGGGTGAGACATTTAAACTTCAAAGTGATGAGTCTCCAGAGGACAAGCCCTTGCTTCAACCGAACCCTGGCCTGACCAACCACTTCATGGAAACCCTCCAGTTTAGGCGAGAAAAGATGCAAAGTGGAATCTGCCCTTTCCAGGCAGCATGTCATTCAGCCCTATAATTAGAGGGCAATGATCTCGAGTCCATGGAGGTTGTACTTTGCAATGCACAACTTGGGAATAAATTTTCCCATTCCATGGTAGAGAAAACCTGTCATTCGACTGGCTGAGAGTGGGCGAATTACCGCCACCACTCCATGTGAATTTGCGCCCAATTAGGGAAAGTTCCTTGAGAGCCAAGTCATCCGAGGTCCACTGAAACTTGACCCATCATATAGCAGTTGAGATTGGCATTGTTCTTATCTTCCTCCTTATAGATTAGGTTGAAATCCCCGGCTACCATCCATGAGCCATGACAGTGAGTGCGGATCAAGCGGAGTTCCTGTAAGAAATTGATCTTCTCCTCATTCCCTTGTGGCCCATACACACGGGTGAGCCACCATGGTTCACTTTGTCGGTGGGTAGAAATTGGACAGAAACACAATGATTGTCCACCGAAAATTCCCAAAGAGTGCCAAGAGCTTGCTTCCATGCAACAAGTATCCTCCACTAGCACCCACCGATGGTACGAATACAAAATGATAGAAATCCGGACCTAGAGTAGACAGAACAAACCACCGAGATATGCCTTCCATCTTAGTTTCTTGAAGGCGAGACTATATCACTCTAATGGATGGACCAACATTTGAACAGAGTCTTGACGAGTTGAGGAATTGAGACCCGACGTTCCAAACAAGAATCTTTGAAGGATCCATGTAACCGGTGAGAGACAGGCGGCAGTGGTGTCTTTGCTCGGTTCGGTAGTAGCCATCGGCCTCAGGGCACTTATAGCCCTCGGGAGGTGACCACCAAAGAGCGCAATGAGGGCCTCGAACGTGAGACGCCGAGAGGGACCGCTAAGCATGGTTTGGCGTAGTCTTCCATTACCTTTTGATTGACATGCTCACGCTCCAACTCAATGCCAAGGAACGCATGCAGGTCTTGCGAGAGCCAGCATCCAAAATACCGGGGAGCTCGGCCCAACCCCAAATCCTTCGCTTCTACGAGGAGCAGAGGTGGGTGGAGGAGCCCTCGAACGTCTCTTTGGTGCTGCGGTGGCGGGTCAGAATTAGGCCCTCTGTGTTCTTGGAGAGCTTGTCAATAAAAGCTTTCGTGCCTTGGTCGCGGGGAATCAGGCATGGCGCCGCCCGGAGTAGACGCGGATCACGGGTATCATGTCGCCCTGATGGCATGAGCAGCAAAGAGCCTTTCCTCCAAGTTGGGCCTCAGAGCGCATGGCCCGCCTGGTACAATTGCAGTGGCTCATTGTAGCTTCATAGGATAGGCGATTCTTTGAACACGGAAATTGCGCCTCGAAACTTGACAGACTCAAAGAGGGTCGGCCTCGGTGCACAAAATTGGGCCTCCTCTTCCACAACCATGGCGTCACATGTTTGGGCCTCAATCCTTGAGCCCCCGGGTGGGACCGGTCAGCCTCCCGGCTTACATCCCTTGACCGCCACATTGACTTGAGGGGGGTCACGAGATGAGTTTCCCATTGACCGCTCCTCGGGGCTCATGATGACCTCGGGCAGCCCTTTGGTCTCGATGGCGCCCGCATCTGCCAAAGACAGGGGGGGAGGAGTCCGTCCATCATCCCTACTTGCCGAGGAGAGGCCCGAACCTCCTCGAACGTCCGTCATCCCATCCGTCGCAGGGAGAGGAACGGTCCTCTTCGGAACCCACCGTGGCCGCCAGCACAGGAGGCGAGATGGCCCCTCCGTCATCACTGCCACCGCAGGGAGATAAACGGTCCTCCTCGGAAACTGGCGAGGCCGCCGGCACGAGAGCCATGCGGGCCGACGCGCCATCAATGCCCCCGCAAGAATAAATACAAACCAAGCCTAATAATACTAACATAGGAACTAGTTCACCCTGTCCACATCCTTGTATCTCCTAAATAAAATTCTAGTCCGTGCGAGAGCATAAATTGATGGACTAGTATTATCGAAATTATGATGCTAAAATATCTAATAAAACCCTTGATTTGCGCTTTCGGGGATAACTTGTCAGGCTCTCCTCGTATAGCATAGGGACCAAGGGCATTATTTCAGTATATAATGAATTTCTTCTCTCCAAACATTGCTCTCCGCCAGAGCATGCAGAACTGTTCCCAGATAAAGCAGGCGAAGGATCATCTAAAACCTTGTGCTGCATCAAAAGTGATTCCTGTGAACAGAACTTCTCAACATCATGTTTGTATTTGGCAATGTGAAGATTTCCACGGGCTCCAACACGAGAGGATTGCAATGTACTCCAGACACGCAGCACCTCTTCAAGATCATACAGATTCTCAATAAAACGCCTTGCTGGATCATAAAATCCCAATTTCCTCCCCGTGTTTAGTAAGATCCTCCCGTCCTTGGGATCGATAGCCCATGGCACCACAACATTTGCTCCAAGGGAATAGCCTGGCCAACCTTCCAAATACACTGTGTATGCGCTATGCCACTGATCATGCTCTCACCTCCAAATATTTAGCTCTTCTGCATCAGGGTCTGCAAGAACAGCACATAATGTTCCCTCAAGCTCATAGTTTTCAAGGCGTCGTCTAGGCGTCGCCTAGGCGTCCAGGCGTACCAAGCACTCGCCTGGACGCCTAATCGCCTTTTAAACTATGCTCAAGCTCAACCACAAAAGCATTGGAAGCACTTCCGTTGTTCCACATAGCAATACATGACGGACAGGGGATGACAACAAATTCACGTGTTGTTATGTCAATGACACAATGGCCCTCTCGTCACATTCGCCCAACCTTGGATCACTCATCCAGTAGAGCACTCCTGCAAGATAGGCTGGCGGCATGTCACTCACAGGCAGAGGTGGCAGGGAGCAGTCTTGCACGATGCCCCGGCCACACTCGGTAACCATGCATGTCAAGAAATACCGACGGGATTTGAAGTCCTTCACGTGGTAAAACATTTCAACAATCGCGTGATCCTGCGTCGACAGATTGAACCCCAGGCCAACATTCTTGCGGCCAAATGCGAAAGCATGGCCATGGCCTTCTGGTAAACTCCAGCTAGGAAGGTTCGGGGGTACGTGGATGGATGTCGTCCCTCGAGTGTGGTACGCAAGGCGGAAACCTGTGCAGGGGTTGTAGAGATAATCCCTCAGCTCAGTGCTTAGCAGGTTCATGCCATGGCAAGGCTTGGAGCAAACCACCTTTGTGTCAAGCCATATATCATGTCTACGAGCACGTTGGAGCAACTTTGAGCAGGGAGTAAAACTGAAGCCGGATCCTCTAGTGATGCGATCCCTAGTGATGCCCTTGCCCACAAGCATGATCTTGGGCCTCTTGTCCATGTTGTTATGCGAGTGATAAGAGCGCATGAAGCTGTTACCCTCAATCAAGCTAAGCCACTGCTTGCAGACAAGTTTGCATCGCATGGTATAGTCAGCTGGGAGTCGGAGCAAGATCTCCCTTGTCGCTTTAGCCAGGGGAGCTGACAGGGCTCTCTCTTCATTTGTCTGATGCACTGGAACAAGGCTCACTTGAAATAAGGAGACTCTAGTAAGAGCAAGCTTTTCAGCTTGGTAAGACGAATGGGTCTCTTTGATTACAGTGGCAGTTTCTACAGTATGAGACACGGGATCATAGACAATCACCTTGCGTTTGGATGTAACAATGACTATCCTCTTCGTGGACCCACAACTGCCAACAGAACCAATAACTCTAACAATCTCAGGCTCAATTACATGCTGCAACAGATCAATGCGATGTTCCAATGACCAACCACCAGAGCCATAGTCATTCAACTTCCAAATCTCCAGCACGCCGACATGACGAAGGTCCCGAACCATACACGTGGCCAGCAAGCTCCACCAAGTGCACACCTGACACCTCAAACGGTGGCGACTGGACCCATGCAAAGATCTCATCTGTGACAGAAAAGGATAGGATGGCAGCTCGTGGCCTTTCAATGACAAATGAGGGAAGGATAAGCCAATGCAGAAAACCATTTGCAAATACTGGCAGCACTTTATCATGTCTAGCATGGCTAATAGTTGCGTGAGCAGCCCTGCAGAATCTGAAGGGTACACCTGCAGCAGGCGGCTTCCAATAATCCCCATGATCACTGCCCAGCGTGTATATCTCACACTTAATATGCTGCTTATCACCAAAATCCCCTAGGAATAACCTCACCACCTTGAACTTCTTCGTCCGGGCATCAAACCCAAGTCCAGCGGTCACACACAACGCATTGTGGCACGGGGGCAACCGGGTAACTGCCCTTGTGGATGCGTTGAAGACATAATAAGCTGGTGCAAAAGGATCGTGGAGAAGGCTTAGGCCGCGACACGGTGCATGTGTCATGTGGATGAAGCCACCACCGCGTACACCATCAAGAGTGAACAGCGGGCCATCATCCGGGCCTGATGATGAGCTCGAGTACACCGCAGTGGCATCAAAACCAGCTGTTGGTGAAGTGAAGAACAGATTAGGTGGTGCTGACTCCGCTTCAGCCTTCGCCATGTGACGGTGGCAAAATTCATCAGAAGAAAGCACTGCATTCCAGGACCGGCAGACGGCCCGAAAGCGAAGAATGGATTTGACGGGCAGCCGTAGGAACACCTCTGTCATCATCTCCTCCGGCAGGAAATGTGCAGCACCAGATGCTACAGCCCTTCTCTTATTCCCCATCATCATGTCACCCAAAGTTGATCAACTATGAGATAATCTGCACTGAAATAAACACGAGATTGGTATCAGGACAATCTAAGATCCTATGTACTTGGACCATGTAATGTAAAGAGATATACTAAATATATATTCTGAAAATTCTCGAGTATGAGTGAAGAGAAAAACGCACCCCCTGAATTCTAATCTCGGCGTAGAACGTGTCGGCGGCGTGTTGGTTAAGACGAGATGACCCGTAAATTGCCCCCAAAGATGCAAAAACCTCTCCTTTCCCCAACTTTTATAAGGAAGAGGGGGGCATCGTGAGAGATATCGGTCGGACCCGGAGTCCGAAACGAACACATAGTGAACAGAGATTAAGGAATCCGAACAGGATTAAAGACTCAGCGCACAACCCCGCGTGTCAGCCGCGGCAGCTTGGTCAACGCCGGCCACCGCTCTTCCACAGTTGATATCCAAGCCGAAATGGCGCCGGATATGCGTTTGCCAGGTTGTCGGTGTGACCGCCGGAGGCCAGATGGGGCCAGCCTGCTTCCCGCGGCGAATCCTGTAATCCCGGGCCGGTGGGGAAGACGGAGAAGGCGGCCGATCGGGGAGTGTGTGCAGGGTGGAGGAATGGGTGCTGGGGCTCCTACGCGGGAGGATCTCGGGAGGACGGAGGTTGGGGAAATGTGTTGAGGAAGACCTAAACAATCAGCTGGAGAGGGTGTGGGGGCGTGGGTCACCTGTGTGGGTCATTAACAGGTGTGTGGGTCTCAAAGATGAATTCTCAAAAAGAAAAAAAGAAAAGAAGAAGGAGAAGGAGGTCTCAAGATGAAAGGCTCTGTTAGCTTCTTTAGCCACTCCTAAAATTCACGTCACATTGAATGTTTGACACGTGTATGGAGTATTAAATATAGATTAATAATAAAACTAATTGTACAACTTGCGACTAATTTGCGAGACGAATTTTTTAAACCTAATTAGTCCATGATTTGATAACATGGTACTACAGTAAACATGTGCTAATGACGGATTTATAGGTTTAAAAAATTCGTCTCGCAAATTAGCCTTCATCTATGTAATTGGTTTTATAATTAATCTATATTTAATGTTCCTTATTAGTATCTAAATATTCGATGTGACATGAATTTTATGAACAACTAAAGAACCAAACACCCCCGAAGGAAGCACGGTCTTGATCACCTTTCTATTTTTTTTCTTTTCTTCTCCCGGAAAGAAGTGAGCACTCCCATCTCATAGGGGTCAGGGATCCGAACGGCCAGTAAATGAGGTTTAACTAGAAGAACTTTTAACTGGCTAAAGTTTAATTTTAAAATTTTAGCTAGTTAAATTTTAATTGGACAGATCCAAACAAACCTTGATCATAATTCTTTTATACTAGCATCATAATGGTGTAGTAAGACAGTTTTCCTCCGATGGTTTTAGACTCCAGCAGTTCACCCCCAATCCTCATAAACCTGTTATATCGGTGAGGATGAGGTAAATTTCTTGCTCCAGCTCCCCAATATGGCCTCCTCTTTTGGTGGTCAAAAAAAACAGCCCATCTCTCCTCAAATGAAGGGGTTGTATCTCCCCAATAGCGCGGGCCCCACAATAACTGTCGCAATCCAGCCGACGGCGCTCGCTGGGGCAGGGACGACGGTCGCCGGAGCTGGGCACGACGCCCGCCCGGGCCGAGGATGGGCGCGACGCTGGCTGGGGCGGGGCCGGGCAGGGCCAACACCGCGGTTGGGTGGGACGGGGCGGTGGGCGAGGTCGCGGTGGTGGCCGCAGCTGGCGCGGTGGTGGTCGACGGTGGCCGGAGCAGAGGGCGCGGCTGGGCACGAGGGCCGATCCGCGCAGGCGCTCCGGCTCGGCAGGCGGCGCTCCAGCTCGAGGGCGCGAGGGCGGATCCGCGTGGGCTGGTGCGGCGGGCAGCGGCGTCGGGGCCCGTGAGGAGGACATGGCCGCGGTTGCCTCTAGCGAAGCGGACACACGACGCGTGCGTAGGCCATGTCCGTGCATCTTGCTTGCATCTACCCGCATCTCACTTGCATCTCGCTTGCATCTGGCCAGCGGTTGTCGTAACCGGGGCTGGACGGGGCCAGGGGAAGGGTTGGGCGCTGCGGTGGGCTTGCGCGGTGGGACAGCTGGGGCTGGGCGGCGGTGGCCGGGGCCGGCGCCGGCGCCGGACCTGCCTTGGCGGCCCGACGCGCGAGCGCCTCTGCGGCCTGCGGGAAGACGACGTCAGGAAAGAGCAGAAGAGGAAAAGGAAAAATAAATTAGAATCTGACATTTGGATCCTATATTTTGGGGAGATTACTAGTGATTTGCTAAACACCTCTTCCAATAAATCTAAAAATCAGTATCACCAATACCATTCTACTGGGGATGAGTTATAGTTAAGCTGCAGGAGATGCTCTTTGTAAGCACGGTTAGATAGTTTTCCCAATCCACCGATTGCAGCAGCAGCAGTATCACATGTCGATCATTCTTGCTTGTTTCTGCTTTTTTCTTTTAATCCTGTTACTCCAAGGTCATCTAAAACTAGATTGGAATCACTGTTTGTCGTATATGCTTTTGATCCTGCTGGATAGGTTGTTTATGATATGATTCTTAACGGACATGTCGTTGTATCAGCTTACTCAAAGCGTGTCTGATGCGCGTGAGGGTGGGGTCTATCTGATTCTTAACGGAAATGTCAGGCCAGGCCCTTCCTCAGCAGTTGCCAACTGCAGTTGATTCATGCAACCAACAAGCAGGCTCCAACGATTGCGTTGCGTGGTGCTCAACTTCAAGTTCATAGTTCAGGCCCCGTTTAGATTCCAAAAAATTTTACGTAGTACCCATCACATCGAATCTTGCGGCACATGCATGGAGTACTAAATGTAGACGAAAAAAAAACTAATTGCACAGTTGGGTGAGAAATCGTGAGACACGAAACTTTCGAACCTAATTAGTCCATAATTAGACACTAATTGCCAAATACAAACGAAAATGCTACAGTAGTCAAAATCTAAAAAATTTTGGATCTAAACACGCCCTCGTTTCGTCATCTGTATTCTGTGGGACATAGCTGCTGACTGGTTTTGTTACAGAGAGCAATGATAGGTGGCAGGCCATGATGATGAACTGATGATATGTATTTTTAGGGGTTAATAAGACTTTAACTGAATCGCAGTGATAAAGAAAACTATACAATAGAATCCAGCTTTTTTTACATTATTGTCATGATGTAATTTGGCTTATGCTGATGCTTATGTTGATTTGTTATGAGAGAAAACATTATTCGCTTTGAAGTAGTGTTGCAGAATAGGGTGAATATGAAGAGAAGTATGTTTGTTCATATCTCATGATAACCCTGCCTAGTGCAGTAGTGCCTACCATAACACACGCCACGAAAGCGAATTGAACCTAGCCCTCAATTGGTTAGGTTTTTGTGGTGGAACTTGCTCACCCAAGTTCAAACCCTCGACACGAGATTTAGGCTCCGTTCGGCTGGAGGAAAGTTGGATGAAATTGGATGAAAAACACTGTTCCGGATGAAATGTTGTGAGCGAAAACACTGTTGCGTATGAAAAAAGAAGCCGAACAAGCCGATTTTAAGGGCACACGAATAGGACCTTAACGTGTTATGTTTTCAGTGGTACGAGATTTAACATTCCCGTCATGCATATCATTCTATAAAATGGGTTCACCAAGACAACATTTTTTACGTGCAATTGTAAAATGCTCGTGCTTAGTTTGAGAATGGGCCAAATTGATTTCTATAGGTTTATTCTGATTTCTTTTTTCCTAATCTATAGAGATTATAGATCTTTTATGTAGATTTGGGCCAGTTTTAGTAGGAATTTCATTTGAGTTTCATGCGCATTTAGGCCCTGTTCGTTTTGCTGAAATTTAGCTTATGTTGATTTGGTGTGAGAGAAAAATATTGTTCGCTTGTTGAAAAGTATTGTTGAAACAGTGCTGAAGAAAAAAAATATTATAAAATTTTAGAATAAAACCATACAATGAGAGTAGTCATTTCATCAATTTTTTATTGCAATCTATCTTATCATGACACTATCTTCGCGGAGTTCGAGCTTTAGTATTTGATCACTAGTCCATTTCCAAATGCGGATAAATGTCTCCTTACTTTAGCAACAAGGCTAAGGTTGCGTTTAGTTCGCGAAATGGAAAATTTTGAATGTCAGATCGGATGTTTCGAAAATGTCGGAAGGGGTTTTCGGATACTAATAAAAAAAACTAATTACATAGCTCGCCTGAAAACTGCGAGACGAATTTATTAAGCCTAATTAATCCATCATTAGCGTTTGTTAGTACTGTAGCACTTATGACTAATATGGACTAATTAGTCTTAAAACATTCGTTTCGCGATTTCCAACCAAACTGTGCAATTAGTTTTTTTCGTCTATATTTAATACTCCATGCATGTGCCGCAAGATTCGATGTGATAGTTTGGGGTGAAAATTTTTGGGAATTAAGGCCCCGTTTAGATCTAAAAAATTTTGGATTTTGGCGCACTCTAGCATTTTCGTTTGTATTTGGTAATTAGTGTCTAATTATGGACTAATTAGGTTTAAAAGTTTCGTCTCGCGATTTCTCATCCAACTGTGCAATTAGTTTTTTTTCGTCTACATTTAGTACTTCATGCATGTGCCGCAAGATTCGATGTGACGGGTACTGCGCAAATTTTTTTAGAATCTAAACAGGCCCTAAACCAGGCCTAAATAATCCTTTAGTACCCTTCAAATTTTATGATAGAAATGGCCTTCAAATTTGGCAAATAAAAGATTAAAACAATATTTCATCACTATAATATAAATAATAAATAAATAAAAGAGAAAGGGGCGTTTACCGTGATGATCCCCCCCGTCCTATTCTATCCTATCCAACGGTTCTGATCTTCCACCCACCATTCTAGCGCAGATCTCCAGCCCCGCAAAACCCTAGCCCCAACATCTCCTCACTATAAATGCGTGCACCTCCCTCTTCCGGCGCTTTCCCTCACCATCCTTCCCCTCGCGCCGCCGCCACCGCAGCCCTTGCAACCCCAATCCCCCACGGCGACCATGGCCGGCGCGCAGGAGTCCCTCTCCCTGGTGGGCACGATGCGCGGCCACAACGGTGAGGTGACGGCGATCGCCACCCCGATCGACAACTCCCCGTTCATCGTCTCCTCCTCCCGCGACAAGTCCGTGCTGGTGTGGGACCTGCAAAACCCGGTCCACTCCACCCCGGAATCCGGCGCCACCGCCGACTACGGCGTCCCCTTCCGCCGCCTCACCGGCCACTCCCACTTCGTCCAGGACGTCGTCCTCAGCTCCGACGGCCAGTTCGCCCTCTCCGGCTCCTGGGACGGCGAGCTCCGCCTCTGGGACCTCTCCACCGGCGTCACCACCCGCCGCTTCGTCGGCCACGAGAAGGACGTCATCTCCGTCGCCTTCTCCGTCGACAACCGCCAGATCGTCTCCGCGTCCCGCGACAAGACCATCAAGCTCTGGAACACCCTCGGTGAGTGCAAGTACACCATTGGCGGCGACCTCGGCGGCGGCGAGGGCCACAACGGGTGGGTCTCTTGCGTCAGGTTCTCCCCCAACACCTTCCAGCCCACCATTGTCTCCGGATCCTGGGACCGCACTGTCAAGGTCTGGAACCTTACCAACTGCAAGCTGCGCTGCACTCTGGATGGCCACGGCGGCTATGTTAACGCCGTCGCCGTGAGCCCCGACGGGTCGCTGTGCGCCTCCGGCGGGAAGGACGGTGTTACTCTGCTGTGGGATTTGGCTGAGGGGAAGAGGCTGTACTCGCTGGACGCGGGCTCCATCATCCACTCCCTCTGCTTCTCGCCCAACCGCTACTGGCTCTGCGCTGCGACGCAGGACTCTGTCAAGATCTGGGACCTTGAGTCGAAGCACGTTGTGCAGGACCTCAAGCCCGACATCCAGATCTCCAAGAACCAGGTTTGTCTCTACCCTTTACCTGCGCTTAGCATACTTCTTATCTTTTGATGAGAGAAATCGTGTAGGTTAGGATCTGTAGTTACTTGTACATGAGTTACGTTCGGATGCCTGCCTTATTGATGAGTTAGTCCGTTAATGCCACTTGTATATGTTATGTCCAACAAATGTCCAGTACTATGCAGAATTGTTGGTGTGCTGAATCTTTAGTGCTAATGCATATAGAAATATATTTTGGGTAAAGATGGTGTGTGTGCTGTGGCATAATTTTGTATCACTTCAATTCTGTTCTATCAATTTTCCATTTGTTTTACATGTGCTCTTGTTTTACAATCTGTCTCATGAGCTGTAGGCCTATAGACTCTAATCTATTGTTTCCACTCAGCATTACACCATGATATTAAAGCACTATTACCAAATTTTATATGTTGTCCTCATCCAGTCTAATTGTTTGGTATCAGCATTGTACCTCACCTAGTATGTCGTTGCTCAAGATATGCTCGTGCACATATATAATGTTGAACTCTGTTAATGTCATTTCGTTCTATGTAAGACTGCCAACAGTGCACTAGTGTTGACTAATTTTAAGGGGGTGTTTGGTTCCCAGGACTAAATTTTAGTCCATGTCCCATCGGAAGTTTGGACACATGCATGTAGTATTAAATATGGACTAAAAGATAACTAATTGCACAGATTGTGACTAATTTGCGAGACGAATTTTTAAGCCTAATTAGTCCATGATTTGACAATGTGGTGCTACAGTAAATATGTGCTAATGGCGGATTAATTAGGCTTAGTAAATTCGTCTCGTAAATTAGTCTCCATCTGTCAGCCTGTTCGGTTGGCTGGTTCGTTTATGTGAGAGAGAAGTACTGCTGGCTGGTTCTTATGAACAGTGTCCATATGGGGGCTGGCCAGCCCCAGCCGATCACGCTATTTGTAATTAGTTTTATAATTAACTCATGTTTAGTCCTCCTAATTAGCATCCGAACGTCTGATGTGACATGGACTAAAATTTAGTCTGTGGAACCAAACACCTGTAGTGTTTATTTTCAATTGTGCATAGGGACTATAGCCTGCAATGGATTTTCTGCTATAATGTGTATCATGACCTATCATTTATACATGTACAAACATTTTATATACTCATGAATCCAGATACCAGCAGTTAGGTAGGTATTTACTTTGGTGTAAATTGTCTTTCCATGTTGGACTATGAAATTGGTAGAAACTCCTGTTACAGGATGTATTATATATACGTTCAGTGTAATTATTATTTTTGGATGGATGATTATCTACTATTTCTCTGATTGATATATTTAACTGTTTCTGGTGCAATTGTATAGATCCTGTACTGCACAAGCTTGAGCTGGAGCGCAGATGGAAGCACCCTCTACACTGGCTACACCGATGGGTCTATCAGGGTTTGGAAGATCTCTGGGTATGGCTACGCCGGCTAGATGTTGAAAAGCCACTTGAAGGTCTAGGCAGTCTTATTTGGCAAAACATTGTAATGTTGTCAAGTTTTTGAAGTCGTGAGCTATATCGTCTGTTTGGTACTTTCTGGCTCACCCAACTATCTAAGCTTAGCTTTGTTAATGAGCTAATCGGTACTATGAAGAATCTATTTTGCACCATGGTTCTGTTTTGCTTCTGCTTTTTATTATACACATTATATATGCTTCAGTCGTGCAACCAACTGATGCCTGTTATTGGGTTGATGTGCTGTGCTTTTCCGTTGCTATGTCTCCAGTAATGCGACTATTGGTAAGAAAATAAGCATTCATAACCTTTCAATCTATGCTTGCCTCGGTTGGATACATGAGCTAGTCAGGATGGATGACCTTGCCCACCTCAGTTCATCCTGAGTTGCAGCCGAGAACATTAACTGCTTCTATGATGACGCTGCCTCTGTGATGCCAGTATCGATGCCATCCATTCTTCGTACTGACTGCTGAGTTGCAGCCGAGAACATGAACTGCTTCTGTGATGCAAGTATCGGCAGCGGAGAACATTAACTGCTTCTGTGATGCAAGTATAGATGCCAAGTATAGATGCCATCCACCATCTATCTCATCTGACCTCTCCGAATTCCCGAGTAACGAACCATGGGGTATAGATGGTTGGGGCATATCATCATCCGGAGGGAGTGGTCTTAATATCGTTGTCTTTCTTTGACCTTTGGGAGGTCGAACCACTGACCTATTTCTTTGACCTTGGGACCGATAGGAAGAAGAAAAAAAAAAAGCAAGGACGAGTGCTTGGCTGGTACACAGGAGCACGGTAGCTCGGCTGATTTTGGATGATTAAATAGTATTCCGCGAGAGAAAATAAGATGAACCGTACCAGCCGAACACGCTGCATCCGATGGGATGGAATCGCCTGCAGCCGTGCTCAGCTCGAAAGGGCTGAGTTGCAGCCGAGGACATGAACTGCTTCTGTGATGCGAATCGATAGTTGATTTTTTTGTTTGAGGAACAGTTGATTTGCTATGGGCATGATTGGTTTTTTGCTGAGCGAAAGTCCGCTTTTCCTCCGTGAACCAGCATAAACCTAAATAAAATCTATAACTAAGTTATACATTATCGAATAAGTATAAAATTTTTACTACAATTTAAGCATACAATAATTAGTCCACCATAAAAATTTCACCATAATTAGACTATAGAAACTGCAGCTACGAATTATTTCATTTAATTACAGAAAAACATAGATTTAAAGCTACAGCAAAAACTTTGTACTAAAGCATACCATATTATATGTTCACTGTGTAGATCTACTAATATGAAGTCCAACAAAATTAGATTTTTCATTTTATAATTTTTCTGTGATTTACTATGATTTTTTAAAGATTCAGCCGTAATAAACAAAAAAGAAAAAAACAAAAACGTCTTTAAAACCGCTTATAACCGGATAAATAATTTTAAAAGTTGAGGGAGGTAATATGAACTTTTTCCTTCTCGTTACTATTCGATTAAGCCACGGAGAAACGGTGCTTGTCTTTGGTGGTTCTCTTGTCCAAGCATGTGAGGGCCCAGTTAGTGTGAAACCAGCCATTGCGTTAGTGTGAAACCAACCAATGCAATGCTTCTCCGATGCGTTGATCTACTATATGCTTCTACATTGGTGTGTGATTTCAATCGTGCGACTAGAAAATTTGTTTGTGCTCGGTTTTATGTTCAAATCTGAAGCATTTCTGTTTCAGGTTGTGTGCTAAGTTCTTTCCTGAAAAAATGCTTATGTGCCTTTTTAACAATTTTGGACCTATCCTAGATTCAATAAGCATGGGTGCATAAGATGAACGTCGTTTTCGGTTTGGGCCTTGTTTAGATTGCCTCCAAATTCTAAGTTTTTTTATTTTTTTTCCATCACATTAATTTTTGAACACATGCATGGAGTATTAAATGTAGGTTAAAAAAATAACTAATTACACAGTTTGGTTGTAAATCACGAGACGGATCTTTTGAGCCTAGTTAGTCTATGATCGGACAAAGTTTGTCAAATACAAACGAAACGTGCTACAGTGTCCAGGTTGCAAAAATTTGCAATCTAAACAAGGCCTTGGCCAGGTTCCGCTGGCTTGGGTACCATTACCAATTGGGTTCCCTCGAGTCATTTGCCTGGTGCTCGCTTGCACGGATCATGCATGGTCTTTGACCACCTCGGCAGTCTATCAGGCAGGCTCATCCCCATCACACCTTTCCCATTTAGAATTTCATCCATGATGATGCCTTGGCGTACAACTCTGAGTTGTATTCAAATCGTTGTCATTTGTCAATTGTTAATAGCAAATCTTATAATCAACTCGCGTCTGCAGTTTCCCATGCGACAGCACCACCACGACACTTCACCAACTGCTCATCGGCCAATCAGAGAGCTCAGGGCCAAGTCCTCTGAACCGGCCCAATTATTCAACTCAAATGACCTCATATTCGCAGCTTCGTCGCAACCGTGGCGCGCTGATTTGTTCTCTAAGCACGCGCCAATTGTTCCAGTTGCTATCGGGTCAGCCATCGCCATGTCGTCGTCCCTGTACAAGCAGCTGGGCCTTTCTGGAGCCGGCTCCCCGCTCACCGGCCGCCACCTCGCCCTCCTCATCCTCGGCGCCGGATTCCTCGCGCTCACCGTCTTCGTCGTGCACCCCAACGAGTTCCGAATCCAATCCTTCTTCGCAGGCAGCAGCAGCAGCTGCGGCGGCCGCCCCGGCACGGACGCACCTGCTGCCGCAGTCGGCAGTCCCCATGTTGCCACCACCGCAGCAGCACGGGCGCCGCCGCCAGCTCCGGACGACGACTACGTGCGCGTCCTCATCGGCATCCAGACGCTGCCGAGCAAGCGCGCGCGGCGGCACCTGCTGCGGGACGTCTACTCGCTGCAGGCGCAGGAGCACCCGTCGGTCGCCGGCAGCGTGGACGTCCGGTTCGTGTTCTGCAACGTGACGTCCGCCGACGACGCGGTGCTCGTGGCGCTGGAGGCCATCCGCTACGGCGACATCATCGTGCTGGATTGCGCGGAGAACATGGACAACGGCAAGACGTACACCTTCTTCTCCACCGTGGCCCGCTTGTTCAACGGCAGCAGCAGCAGCAGCACCGCCAGCAGGAGGTACGACTACGTGATGAAGGCCGACGACGACACGTACCTTCGGCTGCCGGCGCTGGTGGCGTCGCTGCGCGGCGCGGCGAGGGAGGACGCCTACTACGGGCTGCAGATGCCGTGCGACACGGAGAGCTTCTACCCGTTCCCGCCCTTCATGTCCGGGATGGGGTACGCGCTGTCGTGGGACCTGGTGCAGTGGGTGGCGTCGTCCGACCTGGCCCGGCGCGAGCAGGATGGGCCCGAGGACATGTGGACGGGGCGGTGGCTCAACCTCGCCGGCAAGGCCAAGAACCGCTACGACAACGCGCCGAGGATGTACAACTACAAGGGCGCGTCGCCCGACAGCTGCTTCCGGCACGGCTTCGTCCCGGACACCATCGCCGTGCACATGCTCAAGGACGACGCGCGGTGGGCCGAGACGCTCGCCTACTTCAACGACACCGCCGGACTCCCGCGCTCCAGCGGCCTCTACCACCTGCCGCTGCCGGCGGCCAGCCCCTGATGACGAGCTCGATCAAGTGTCGTTGAACCGTTCGTCGTCCTTGCCGGTTCGCTCTCGTCGGCCCCGGATGCGTGCGTTGAATATTGTGATCAAGGGTTGGTGGCGTTAGTTAGGCCAGAGGATAGGTAATAGGATACGTGTTCGTTCGGTGTTGCCGAATAATACGCTGATACAATGACGTAATTTTTTTTTTTTTTTGGTTTTGAGATTTCGAGTCTCGAGTGATGCCTAATCGACTTTGACTGTCTTGTTTGATGTCAGCCAAGTGACGCTGTTGCGATCAAAAAGTTGTCATTTCTCTTTTTTTCCCAAAAAAAACCACAAAAAAATCGGGAAAGACTTGACTGATGTGACAAGGGGGGAAAAAGTACTGGCCAAGCCGGCACACGGCGCCACTGCCGCTACAGGAATCCACGGCACGATAGGCCTCAGAGAGCAAAGAGGCCGATGGCGAATGAATTTGGGCCGTTAGGCAAATCAGCCATAGCGAGCGAAGGCGGGCCAGCTAGAGCAGCTGAGCAGAAAGGGCCGAGGAAGATGGCGATCTAGCAAAACGGCAAAACCTGTGACGAGTCTAAAGTGAACAGCCCAAAGCAAAATCAGCCCACACACTTTATTTTAGGGTCTACGAAAGTTTTTTTTTTCTAATCTAAAATTTAAAAAACAGTATTGCTATGATTTGGGCTATTCTGTCAACCGATTTCTAGGCCGGCGTACGTGCTGTGTTGGGGCTCACACTGCTGACGTGTACATACGTGCGTGTTGCCGTCTTCCGAATCCATCTGCCGTGCTGCTTAGGAGTACGTACGATCGAAACTCGAGAATTAACACAAGGCCAAGCAACGCCTGACTTGTCATACTTGGAACCCTGTAGCATGCACAATACAACCCCGTAGCTGCGAATTTGTTTTTTTAATTTGTGAATAATTTGTCATATATTTATCTGATATATATCTGGAATCCATAGAAATAATTTGTATTTTTTTTGAATTTTTTAGCATATATTTGTATTATCCTCAAATTACACCTCTGCATACAATAAATTACACTGAAGAAGTCAATGTAAATATAGTAATAAGTCAGTGTAAATATAGCTAGAAGACAGAGTAAGTGTACGAGAAAAAATCAGTTGACAGGAGGGGCCAAAACAACTGAACGTGACCTGGACAGATTAAAAAAAAAGGCGCAGATTCCATTCATGCCACACGCACCTCTGCCACACGAGCCATGCAAGCTATAAAGCAAACGGCAGCACTACACGGTACATGCGCTGCATGGACGCCAGTCAACCATACGTTCCGATCGCCGGCGGCCTGATACAGCCATACGCCCTCGGTACTGGTCCATTCCCTTCACGCGACAGCTACGGTGCGGCGGGCGGGAATCCACGCAACCGTGGCCACCCCCTGGCCACCCCGAGCGGATCGGATCAGGACGACGAGGGAGCGCTCGGTCGAGGCACGGCAGACAAGAGAAGGGACGGGCACGGCGACGGCGACGGGGACACGGCGCGGCGCGGCGGCTGCAGCGTCGCCACCTCGCGATGAATGCACAACAGCTGGGGTGGGTAGGCCGCCGAGGCCTACTAGCGCCTAGCGCGGAAACCCACGCGACCTCGTGCAGACGTGCAGCAGACGCTCTCGGCGACCTGAGGATCGTGACGGCGCGCGCTGCGGCCACCGGCGCGAGACGTGGCCGGGCGTCGCTCGGGCCCGTGGGGGTCGCGTAGTCATGTGCCGGTGCGCTTCATCAGTTTATTCTTGATCAGTACTGTAGCAATGGTTCATGTTTCTCCTCTCGATCGATGTCGACCCGTGTCGTGTAGCTAAGCTAAGCCTGATATAAAAGAGAGAACGTGAAAGGTGCCTTTTTTCTAAAAAAAAATAACGTGAAAGGTGAAACATTCCGTGGCGCTCGTTCTTGTTGCCCATGTGTGGTGCCTGAGAATGAAATGATCCGTTCCATCCAGTTGCTCTGAGTGGTTCGCACACTCAGGTCAATTGGGGACGCGGAGATAGAGTAGAACCTCAAGGATCGGCATCAAAGATCCAACATCAAAAGGCTTCAAGTAGTATGGGTAGGGATAGCAACGGGTAAAAAGTAAGGTGCAGGGTGGAGTAAAAACACTTCTCATCAACGACTAGAAAGCAGCGCGGCCTTGCCGCGCGGTCCCGTGTGGTGCTTGCATCATGAAGCTAATAATTATATTGCAATTAGTATTACTTAGCTTCTGTGGAGAATAAATAGCAGTAGTATAATATAATTATACAGATTAGTGGAGCTGATGTTGATCGTTGTCATTGCAGAGGATAATAGCTGGAGTCTCTCTTTTTCAATTAAGAACTATGCACGACACACCCATCATTGTGAAATTAAGAATTGATTAGTATTAGGTATAATCAGTCACATATATCAAAGAGCATATAAGCGTGAGCAAATGTTTTAGTGTATACCTTTCACATAGTCCTTTTTCTCTGGAGTCTGAAGTTGATATTTATTTAAATCTGAAATAAAAATACAAGGTGTAGAATTATTACCTTTGAGTCATAATTTCAAAGGAAGATAGAGATTGTTTTCGAGATGACAATCCACACATTCACCGCAATCAAAACTACAGCAGTGGCAGTGTTGTCTAAGATTCACACTCTAGCACTGTATTAAGATCTGAAGCTTTTAAAACAAAGTAAAAAAATTAACTACACAGATTAGCCAAATCATTTACAGAAGGAGAGAGATAGTAGCACAGCTAAAATCCAAATTACGAGAAGTCGATGAGTTGAGAAAGTTATGTGGAGAGCTTTAGCAATCAGCACAAAATATAGCAGAACAAAGATAGAGGTATAGTAGATTTGCATTTTTTTTTGCCTGCCTTATAGTTCAAAGTCAAAGATGTTGCAATGGAAGAGAATGTCTGAAATAGTATATAAAGCAAATATTATATGCTGTTTGAGTTTAAATTCAAAGCTTTGAGCAAAGCCAAATATGACTGCATTTAAATTGGTCAAGTAAAACACGTTTTTTTCAATGATATGACTCATTTTTCTCTGTTTTGATTTGTTTTGAATGGACATGAACTCACTGCTTGGGCTCTTAGCCTGTTACGTACTTTACATGATGATAACCTTTTTAAGACTGATGGAAAGCATCTCTGCAAATTAATAAAGTACATGTAATTCCGGAGTTGAGAAGCATATGATGGTGTGAGGTACTTGGGCTAGCAACAGATATTTGAGTAGCTAGTCTTGCCGATTTCATATGTTTTTGAAACTCGATTACTCCATCGATAGTGAGCGAGAGTTGACATCTATTATAAACATCTTTGGTGAAATGAGGTTTGTCAGATAATTCTTCAGATTTGAGTGCAGCTGAGGATTGCCCTTGCCTTGATAGTAATATAGATAAGAATAGGAAGGAATTTAACAGCCCCAGATAATGTTGGATCGTTTGACATTGATATGCTGCTGAGAAGCAAGTTATTGATTACTTGACAACAGCTCATGATGTATAGAAGCGTCTCGTGTTGTGCTTTGAAGGTATTAATCGTCTGCAACTCTTTCACTGCAAGCTAGAGTGTCATGTGCAGAAAAAAAATGGTCATAGTTACAATGAGCTTTGGATGTATCACTGGAATGATTTCTTTTATGGGAATTTTGGATAATTTAAAAAATTGGATATTACATGATTAAAACCAGCAACTCTTGGATATGCAGTATAATGACAACATAATTGATAATAACAGAAAAAATAGAGCTGAGTACTTGATAGTTGACACCTTTTCTTTCAATATTGAAGCTAGCAAATGTATCAAAGTATGGAGCTTCATTTCAATCAAACATATATTGATGTGGCATACATTGATTACTCCCATCCTTACAACTTATGACAACTGAAATTGCGTTGTAAATGTTTGAAGCTCAGAATGAATTACTAGCCATGATGCCTCCTTTTGCAGGACCTTGGGTATATCCAAGTGATGGGGCTTAACAAATTGTTGCAAGAGTACAATCTTCTCCGAGATCTCCATGGCGGTAACGACATCCTCAGTGGAGGTCCCAAACATGCTGTCGAAAAATTTGGTCATGACGTACTTCTCCAGGCCCTAGTGCACAAAAAGACTCATCAGGGCGTGTGAATGAAGGTGAAAACAATGATCCAGGGCAGGGCTTCACCTACGAGCGCGTGGTCGATCTCCTGGTTGGTGGCATTGGCCCAGACCTAATGGCGCTCTCCATCTCCGCGAGGAAGGCCTGGACCCTGCCGGGTGGTGCGATGGCCCAGGTGCCGGCCATGTCGGGCCGGACACGCTCCCCAGCGCGGCGGCGACGTGGCCCCGGGCCCGCGGGCGCTGGCGCGGAAGGCCACGGGCGCGCACGACTCCGCCGCAGCCTGTCCACGGCTCCACTGGCCAGCCAGGGATCACCGAGAATGCCCGAAAGAAATTTTTACTGTGAAGCAAAATATGCACTCTCATCTCTTGCTCCGCAATTGTGAGACTATATTGTACTTAAAGCTTGAATAGAGGACAGGGTTAGCTGCCTAGATTGCTTTCTCCAATTATTTCATCCTGGTATTAAAAGGTCCTAGAGCAACTTTGATGTCAGCTTGTAAGTTAGTGCACATGTAAAGAACTGCATATATATATGCTAGATGGTTGAGTTTACAGAGATTAGTACTGTTTTGTAAGAGGGCCGGGGTGCTATGTTGTAAACCAATATCATGAAAATTTGTAAAGTGGCTGGGTTTTACATATTCTGTAATGACTAATGCATTTAAAAGATGACTACAGAAGTACATCTGACATAGAAGATCATCACAGAACCAGAGATAATAAAAAGAGAAACTTGGAGGTCAATTGCAGCATAGCTACCTTTGTATGTTAGCAACATTCTTAAGAAAAATAACCATGTTAATGACTTGTTAATTAACTGTACAAAAAGATCCATGTAATTCATTTCATGGCCAATCAGCCAACAGACATCCATGGAGTAGTCAAAGCCAATGTAATTCATACATTCCCTTGCATTTCGCCTTATATCTTAATCCCATTCATATAGCAACAGGGCTTGGAACATTGTGAATGTAGTAGGTTACAGTATATACAGGCAAGGCAACAGAAGGGGAATAGATTTTTGAGCTAGAAACGTTGTGAACATGGCTAGCAATAGGGCTACAAACATTGTGAATATAGTTGTTGTGGTGGTTTTAGTATAGATAGCGAGCCTGTCATTAGTATGAAAATATCATCTGATTCTTCTCGAGTTCTTGAGCTATCAAGTGAAGGTACATGCATGATGCATCAACCCATAACTGTGTCAGAGTTGCTAGGCCCGTGTGTTTAACTTAGCAGTTTATGTGTGAGAGAAATATTTACTTTCACAACACAACATGTAGTAAGATGATTAGAAATAAGAACAATGTTAGGGGTAGTCATTGAAACTGAGCAAATAATTGATATTATTTTAAGTATAAACAATAGCACACAACATTGTATTGTAAGTGTAGCTTGAGCAGGGATGGGGCAGTGGCACTATCGATTTCAGAGCTCCTTCAGCAACGGATTTTGCAGATGAACCAAACAAGTTGCTGAGAAAACAGAGATGGGCAGATATGTAAAGGAAAAATCTGAGAAATTCATACTGGTATAAGCGCAATAAACATATTTCCTTGTTTGCTTGATTCTTTCTTCGGAATTCAGAAACAAATTTGATTGAGGCCAACAATTAATTAGATGCAACGGGGACATCAATATGCCTGGTCGGGCGGCAGAATCAAAGGTGGACCTAGGACGGCCTGGTGAGAGAACAGAGAACCGTAGCCAGCGCCAGCAGCTCCATCTCATCTTCCACCTTGCACCGGCGCAACATTGCTGAACGTCGCATTGCTCGGCGGCCACCAATCCTGCGAGGCCACGGCCACCTGCTGCGCCGCTGGTCGAATATACTATGGTCTCGGTGGGGATCATGCGGACGCATTCGCCGATGCCATCGGAAAGAAGACGGCTATTGTGTATCTACGCGCGAGCGCTACTGGCCTTGTGCCTCCTGCTCTACTCCGCCATGGCTATTGGGCATTTGGGCTCAACATTGAGCTCGCCTCTGTCTCCGTGGTCACGGCTGCGAGGAAGCGGAGCGGCGGGCTCCCGATCCACCTCCACTCGATGGCTACGAGCGGCGGACGTAGGATGCCACAATACGGGCACGGAAGAGCTGCCGCACGGGGACAGCAGGGGAAGAGGAGGGTAAGGCAGGCGGATGGAAGTACCGGCGGCGGTGCAGGTCGTGCAGGAGGGTGGTGGCCCTACATCCAGTGCGGCGGCACGAGGACGGGAGCGTGTAACACCCCGGTGTTATGCCTACATTTAGGCACTGCTAATCATACATATCATGCATCATCAAGCATCCTAATCATACATGCCTAATCATGTAAATAACAATTGAAACACTGCTTCGAAACATTTAAAACATGTGTGAAACCTGAATGTTGCATACACCTGTTTAAGAGTTGTTCTGTCCTGATTTTGCTTGCTAGGTTAGTGAAACATGTTTGGCTACTATTGTGAATCATCTAGCAATGTTTAGTTCAATTTTTGGAGCAAAGTTTGTATTCAAATTAATTCAAAATTTGGCTTCAAAAATAAATTCCCAAAAATTAGGGTTTTGAGTTAAACGTGGACTTTGACCTTGCAATTCAAAATCTAGAAAGAATTTGGCTGTGATCATAAAAGCAAAGTTGTAGAAAATTTAATTCTAAGCAACTTTCATTTTTGGTACATTTTCAAAAGATGTCATTTTCTTGCTCAAAATAATATTTGAAAGATAGCATTTAAAAATTCCTTGAAAATACAAATGAAAAGGGCTTTTTCCTCCTTCGCGGGCCGCCACCTCACTTCTGGCCCACGGCCGAAGCCGGCCCAGCGAAGCCCCCGCGCGCGCCTCGCCTCGCCTCGGCCCAGCCCAGCGCGCTGGCTCCTTCTCCCGCGCGCCGCGCTCGTCGCCGCGCCACAACCCCGACCGCGTCAGGGCTTGCCCGCCGCGTGGCGCCACCCATCGACAGTGGCCTGGCACCGCGTCCACGCGCCGCGGCAGCTCTGGCACTGCTGGCCATGACTTGAATCCCCGCGCACCCACCTCATTCCAGCGCTCCTCACTTCTCCTCTCACCGCGCGCCCGCCATCGCCACCGCGCACCGCGCCTTGCCGGAGCTCGCTCGCCCGGCCACCTCAGCTCGCCGGTGACCACTCCGTCTCGCCTACAGCTCCGCCGTCACCCCGCGCACCCCGTGCTCTCGCTACTTTGCCGTGGTAAGCATCCCGTCCTTGGGAATTGCTCGCCGGAGCACGGCCGAGCTCGCTGGTGAGCTCCGCTCCCGTGGACTCCCCCTTTCCGCTCCTCTTCCTACCTTTACTTCGCGCGCACAAGCACCGCACGACGACGTTGAGTCTCCCGAGCGCCTCCTTTCACCATGCCGTGGCCGGAGATGCTCCACCGGCGACGACCCGCGCCGCCGCTCCGCCATGCATGTGATAAAATTTTGAGGTGTAGTTCAAGTGCCTTTAATGGCTAATTTTTGTTATTTTTGTTAGAGAGCAAACTTTGTATAAAACATGCATGTGATAAATTTTGTACAGTCATTGTATGCTATGAAGAACATAGGAAAAATACTAATTCTGTTGTTTGACACTTTTCACAGTACAAAGTATTTTCATGTTTATGATCATGCCATAGCTTGTCATTTTTGTGTAGACTATTTTACTTATCCAAACGCCATGAAAATTTTATGGTAGTCTACTTAGAGTAGTACTATGCTACTGTAATTTTCTTAGATTTTTATAAGCACCAGAAATATAGGTTGCTGTTGTAGCCCTAGTTTAAAATGAAATAAAATAATCCTCTTTAATGCAAGTTAGTTAATAATGTTAACTTTGGTGTATCTTTGAAGCATTTAATAAGATGTGTTGGCTTAACATATTAGTAGTAGAAGAGAATGCAGTAGATGACATGTGCTTGTAGTATATTTTCTTGGATGATATTGACTACCTTGCATTCAAACATATCCATTGTATTCATCTCATCCGATGCACCGATTGCATAAGCACTTACACACATTGCATCATACAGGATCGTAAATCGAGAACCCAGTCGTTATACCCGAGGAGCCCGAGGAGCGATTCGAGTGCGACCACAGGAAGTGCCGAAGGAAGACGAGGAGGACGTTGAGGAACTTCCAGTGCCCCGATCATCGTCCGAGCTCCTTCGAGAGAGGCAAGTCCCGGAGCATTTTTCTCCCGGTTTGCAATGATTTAATTAAATGCTTTACTTTAATTGATGCATTACGTTCAGGAGTTGTTTGCAACCGTTCTTTGCATTATACCTTGTTTACCTTTGTTATACTATATCCTTGTTACCACGGTATCCATGATGAGTCAATGCTTAGGTGGGCTTAGACCCGGTAGAAGTCGGGTGATTTTTCGTCACCGCGAGCTATAGGTGGTTACACGGATCTGCTTGGATGACTATGAAGTCATGGTATAACTAAGCGTTAAATGAAGTTGAGACCCGGACGGAGACTTGCAGAGTTTTGGACTGTAGTGTTTCCGTCTGTGTCGATTAAGGACCGACCGTTGTTGGGCCTCGAGTCATGTTGAACGCATGCCTTACATTTAGCTGGCGGATAAAGTACCTTCCGACCGTGAAGTGGGAGATTTTTTTGGCCGAGTAGATTGCCCCCGGCAGCGCCTACCGCCGGAGCAGGTGTGGTAGGACACGGGGCGAGATGATAAGACCAAAGTGCAGTCGGTCGGCCCCTAGGTACATGTGGTTCCTGGCAAACTTGAGATACCTGGAAAGTTGACTCGGTGATCAATATCTCACTTTAGCGGGTGAGTGAGGTTTGTGTAAGGAATAAATCACCAGCTGGTTAGGAATCGATTCGAATCGCCATCGCTCCTGGATAGTGAGCACTTGACTTGAGTTACTTCATCGTAGTAAATGTTTATGGAACACTTGGATAGTTATAATAAATATGACAGTTTGGAAGTTGTTTAATGATCATTGGTTATCATTATCTGCTTAATCACATGTTTGCTCTAGTATAGGTGCAAATCTAGTCGACAGGTTAATAATAATTAACTTGACAATAATGCTTTTAGAAGGGTTCTTGAAATGCTAAAATGCTTCTTTTGCAAATGAGTCGACTACCCTACTATAAAGCCCTTCATAATCCTTGGTGTTATTTATTTTCGGTTATGTCGGGTAAGTCTATTTGAGTACCTTCTCGTACTCGGGGTTTTATTTCCACTTGTTGCGAGATGGGCGAGATGTATTACGACTCATTGTATCAAGCGCCTTTATCCTGCGATGGGTGATGCTTAGGACCATGGGCATGGTCATTCCTTACGTCTCGTCTAATGCTTTTGTTGGAGATGATCATTCGCTGGCACTATATTTGAACTCCGCGTGAGTATGTGTGTGGTTTGAACAAATGGCTTCCGC